TCCAGTGAATCTTCTCAAACCAACATATTGGGAACTGTTTAAGGAACTTGAGCCTGTAGCCTGGTGAAAGGAGATGTGACCACACGGGGACTACACGTGGTTCTCGTGGTTTCAGAGGGAGAAAGGGCCTGTGTAGATCCAAAGACTTGGGCCTGCAGGCTCAGCCTGAGTCTGATAAACTCATTAAGCAAGTTTTTTTCAGCTCTTGACATTTTTCAAGGATATATTTGATTGAAAATTACTCTTTTGTTGAACTTTTGAATAAAATAACTTATCTGGGACACACAGTCAGTACGCTTCAGTGGTCTCAGTAAAACTTCATGTGTTACCTTGTGGAGTCAACTTGCTTTGTTTGAGCTTGACTATGTTTCCTTCATCTTTAGCAGTGTTCTTTTGAATTTGCTTTAAATGATGATCAGTAAATCCAGCTCTTTAAGTTTATATGGTGCAACTGTAGAAACTCTGGCTGTTTGTTTTCTGAACTGTTTGCAAGTTTTCAGGAGAAACTTTATGGCTCAAAAAAAATGTAGCTTGGTATGAAGAGCATGTGAGGATACCAATCAGAAGGTGTCAATATACTTATATGGTTCTAAACTGCACCTGAACTTTTAATGTCTGGAAGATATTGGTGATTGTGTGGCCTTGACTATATTCCCTGTTGTTTTAGCAAGTAGAATATTTAAAAAAACCAAAATTATTGAAGTAGTCATTTCTTAAGTCCCAATTAATTTTTATATGATGTTGTAATGATACTTGCTTCACAGATAGGAGATAAGAACTGATTTTATAATATAATAGAATTATAGTCTTTTACCTAATTAAGACTTTAGGTAAAAGTCTTTAGCTTAAGACTTTCCTTGTGTTTGCTGAAAGTTGTATTTTTAAACTCTGAGACAGCAAATAAAATGACTAGCAAGTTATATTTAAAATTTAAAGTATTAGTTTTGTAGAAAACCTGGAATTAGGATTTATATCACCCTCTATTTAAAAAAAACTATTTTCTTTTAAAATAAGTAATAAGGAACCCCACAAACAGGGAAAATATCTTCCCAAATACTGTTTAAATATCTAATCTCTTTTCATAAGCTTAAGACTAAACAAGCTGTTTTGTCATAACATTTGAGGGCTTCAGCAGACTTAGAGAAGATTAAAACGGGGCAGTTGTGGCTGTCGGGGCCCCCAGCTGTGCCCCCTGCCCTGTGGCAGAAGCCGTGGGATGGAGCAGGGGGCTGATTGCCTTTACCTGAGTGTGCCAAGCTGCGGTGTTCCCTGGCAGAGGTGTGTACCCAGCCATCAGAGCTCTCAGATATTTGCATTTCTGCCCCGTGACATCCAGCGGAGGAGTGGGGCAGACAGATGGGAGAGGAGCAGCCTCAGTGCTCCCACCCTCATGTGCTGCTGTAACCCTGCCAAAGCCGGAGATTCCAACTGACCGACGGGTGTGTGGAAATGGGACTGCGACTGTAATTAATCAATTAACATACTTCAGGGATTTCCTCAGAAAGGCTGTGCATGAGGAAAGCCAGTAAGGCTTTTATTTTTAAGTTGAAAATGTTTGCAATGGTTTTGTGTGTTGTAAAACAACTTTTTGATGTTCTGTAGTTCATGTGAGTGTTATCCACTGCAGCTTGACATCCTGTAAAACAGGAATTCGAAGTAAAGCCTTCAATATTTGAACAGTAGGGTCATCTGTGCTGCTTTCTTGTTGATGTAATGGGAATTCATATATATATATATATATTTTCCACAGTTACATAAAGATAAAATGTTTTATTTAAAAAATTGTTGGGTGAACACTTTTATTTCTACAGGGGTTAATCCTTTTTTACAGTAAAATTCAGAGTTTCATTGTATAATGCACGTGAAGAAGACAAATACACATACTTCTTTATGGTTTTAGAGACAAATGGAGCATATTAACGATTAATTTAAGGCAGATTATTAACCTAAATATTGTTTCCACTATGTAGTAGGGGATTTGGTGTTTTGTGGTTGTTTTTGATGGTGTTTGGGGTTGGGGTTTTTTTTCTACTTCTTTAATATTTTTAGCAACATTGCAACGTGTTTGAAAGCACTGCTTCTGCAGTCACCCTGCATATGACACATTGTAATTTATTGCTTATCTGTTCTTTATGCTGCTTGATGTAAATCCTTTTTTTAAACTTTTATGTTTATTTTTATTGACCCCCTTTTCTTGTATTTGTTAATTGTTACCATTAATGGCAAATTCAGATGAACTTTACTCTCTTTATAGGTCTGCTAATCTATACAGCTTGAAGGTGTAGTGTTAAGTTTCATACACTAAGCAGTTTGTCTTAGTGGCATTTCTAGTCTTGCTGGAATCACTGACTGGAGAGCCTTTTTTAAAGATGTTCACATATTCACCTTCTGCAGATGTGCCACCAACTATGTATAAATCAGGGGGTTTCTTTCACTGACATGGTCACGTGCAGATATGCCATCTGTGATTTTAACTTACTCAGAGGAGTATCAGCACACTGTGTTCTGCAAACCAGATTTTTTCAAGTAGAGTTCTGAATAATTTGTATTTTCTGAAAACACTAATTGAGAATTTAAATGCTTGCTCTTTAGAAGTTGTGGTATTTTGTTGCTTTTTTTCACAGGCTGTTTGAAGTCTCTTTGTTAGTAATTTTCAATTACAAAATCATGTCTTTTGCTCCCTAGACATCATGCTGATTTGATGTAGAAGTCTGAGAAACTTTACTTTGTAATTTTTATTTTGCTAAGACTGGAAAATATTTAAATTTCTATTATTTCATTACATACCCAGAGAAGTAACTTCAGATCAACATTGTATAATATAACAGTAATATAAAAATGGAAAGCATAAGGGCTTCAAAATGCTTATTTTATTTGAGAACAACTTTTGAAATTTTAAAAGTATCCCTTTTTTGTTGCCTTGAGCAAACAAAGAAACTTTGAGACATGATGAATGTAACTGGACAGTTTAAAGACCAGAGTGGAGAGCCTGGTTTCCTTCCTGCCTCAGCATCCAGTCCTTAGATTGGTCCCTTTGCAGTGTATATTCTAAGTTAGAACTCTGCCCAGTGCTCTCTCTTTTCCCTTCCTTGAATTCTTAGTCACCATCAGTGCAGTTTAGAAGCTTGATTTCAGTTCAGTACCCTGGTCAAAACCCCTCTACATTGATGGAAATGTCTTCATTGACTCTGGGTGATTAGAATCTACTTTGTTATATTTGTCTCAGCTTAATTAATGTGTGATGTTGTGAGTATTCAGAAAAGAAGGTAAAAAAGTATGGAGAAATACATAGAATAGAGGCCTGAGATCATGAAGTGTATTGGTCCTTGCTGTTTCCTTCTGTTGTTTTTGCTCCTTCATTTTTCCACTTTCCTTAACCTTCTTTGTCTCTTCACTTGTTCTGTTTCTCTTCCTACCCCAGGAGTTCTTAAATGGAGATCAAATTCATAGTGTCCATTTACTTCACTTTAATAAGTGAATTTAACCCCTGATTTAGTTTTGGAATTTAGCTAGTTCACTGAATCTTTTAATAGCTAAGGAAGACTTTGACAGTGATACTGCTTTTTTCCTCATGAAAATAATCACTTGATATCTAGCATTATATTTAGAGAAATATATGCTGATTCCTTGGGATGAAGTAAGCCTGCTGTTGAAGGGGAGCTGGAGTTGGTTTTTAGAGAGAAGAAGAGGTTTTTGAGGGGAACTGTCCTGCTAGAAGGAAGAATTGGGTGGAAACTGGTATACTCTGAATATTGAGCCAAACTTTTTCATTCCCTGTCAGGAAAAAATGAGAATTCTGCTGTTGACAAATATCTGAGGGAGGTGGTTCATGCCAAGATAAATGGAGAATGAAACTGGCTGCAGAGGTTTGTTTTGCCATGAGACATCCAGTTGTTTCGGTTTCCTCTTGATGATTACTCACCCTTGGTTAGAGATCTTGGTTTTGTCAGGCTTCAGGGGTTACTCAACTCTCCAGCTCAGTTCAAAAGTTTATTCCTCCAGGTTTTGCAACAGTCTGACAGAGTCTTGTGTTCCATTCTTTTATAGACACAGCTCTTACTGTCACTGCCTGTAGACACTTGGCTCATAATATGCATCAGACAGTAAAGTAAAACTCCCTGCAAACCCAGCTCTTAGAGAAAGAAAGAATGGCATTTAACATTAAAAACACAGGTAGGGTTTAATTTATTGTTTTCTAGAACTGAAACAGTTTTGGTACATTTAGACTGGAGTTAACAATGCTTCTGAAAATGATACTATCAACCTTGGAAATACTGGCGGTATTTTTCCATTTTTGTTGCTCAGGAAAGTACCTTGTTTTAGGATAGCAACTGGAATTTTCTGGAACAAGGTTACAATTGGGAGGTTATTAAATTAATCCATATGAAAGTTTATTCTTAGGGATGACAACGAGATAATGAAAAAGTTTATTTTCAGATGTCATTAGAAACAAATGTTGAAACCCAAGTACATCAAAGCACAACTCAGAGGAATGAGGATATTGATTTTCCTTGCAGTGGTTTAGTTACCTGAAACTCATAACTTAAAACTGCCTGGTTGTGTTTTGCTCTCCCGGGCTTATGTTTAAAGGTTAATGTGGCTGGTACTAACTGCTGGCTATAAAATGATCATTATTTGTGAAGGGTACGGTCTTTCAGTAAGTGTAGTGGAGATACCCAAAGTAAAAACTGCTTTGACTCAGAAGACTGAACCAGAGTTCCTTATATTTGAAGTCACTTGATTCCAAAGCAACCAGAACCAACTCTGTGAAGGTAACATTTGCCATGATAAAATAACATTATGTTGATCCTGGAATCTGTCAGTCAGACATTTGTCTTTGTATCACAACGTTTGCTTTGGGCTTTGCTTACCTTGGACATTGATTTCTCTGCATATTGCCATTAGTCTTCATAGTCACACTGAATAGTGGAATAAAGTAATTAATGAAATAATTAAATTATTTAAAGCAATGACAATTTTGTAATTTTTCTCCTATTCAGCTATAATCCTCTGATGGACATGGAGCCATATTTTGCTGGGTTTAAGCACGTGCAGCCGGACTACGAAGTCACTCTTGAACTCACGAGTGAGGAGACTCAAAAAACTAAAAGTGCACAGAATTTGAGGACGGGGTCTTATGGTGTCAGTATTAGAGTCCAAGGAATCGATGGACATCCTTACATAGTACTAAACAATACAGAAGGATGTTTATCAGAAAATCCTCCTCCTTTTGGAAAAGAGCAGCAGGTCGTTTCTCAGACTGTAAACAAGCCAGCCACAGACTCCATTACTGCTTCTAAGTTGGAGGATAAAATCAACGAACACACAAAATTTACTGGAATACAGCACATGCAACCTTCCATGCTTAAAAAACTGAAGATAACCAATGTAGATGAAAAGGGAAGTGGAATGTCAAATCTTAAAGACGAAGCAATGAAATCCTCCAGTTTGTTGAACTTTCAAAGACATCCTGAACTTTTACAGCCTTATGATCCTGAAAAAAATAACTTGAACTTGGATAATTACCAATCTTCTGTGTGCAGTAAATCTAAGTCTTTTGCAGATGAAAAAACTGAAGCAAAGCCTTGGGTTTCCTCCTCTAAAGTAGTGTCCCTACAGAAAACAAATACGTACCATGCAGAGCCAACCAAAGCAAGTTCAAAAAAGATACATTCGAATAGGTCAGTAGAAGATCAAAATAAGCAGCTGTTGGACTGTCCCAGTAGCAAGATCAGCCCCAGCGACGTGGGTGTTTCAGAGTCGTTTTCATCTGCAGGAGGATCCCCGTGTGTCAGTCCCACTTCTTATCCAGAGACAAGAAAACCTAGACCAGACGTGCTTCCCTTCCGCAGGCAGGATTCAACTGGGCTGGTCTTGGATGACTCACGACGATCGTCGTCCTCATCGGCTACTCCCACTTCTGCAAATTCCTTGTACAGGTTCTTGCTGGACGACCAGGAGTATGCCATCTATGCAGACAATGTCAATCGGCACGAAAACAGGAGATACATTCCATTTTTGCCGGGAACTGGTCGTGATATTGACACTGGGTCCCTTCCAGGAGTAGATCAGCTAATCGAAAAGTTTGATAAGAAGGTCGATCCTCACAGGAGAGGCAGGTCAGGAAAAAGGAATAGAATTCATCCAGATGATCGTAAAAGATCAAGAAGTGTTGATAGTGCCTTGTCGTTAGGTCTTGATGTAAATTCAGATTATTTAGGTGAATTCAATAAAAGCTTGGGCAAGTCAACTGAGCACTTGCTGAGACCATCTAAAGTTTGCCTTCGCAAGCAGTTATCCAGGGATCAGAAGTCGCTTTCCAAAGAGATGAAGATTTCTGCTCGAAGTGTTGGAAAACTGCAAATGCCTGTTAAAGACACTGAGAGCAACAATTTCAGCTCTTTGCAGCACCACAAACAAAATGGAGCCGATACTGAGAGCTCAGTGTGTAGGTCATCTACACTCCCAGGGCAGAGTAAGAGGGAGGAAGGTAGAACAGTAACTTCCACTTTATTGTTGCCAAACCGAATCACAATTTCCCCTGATTCAGGGGCCAAGAAGATTTCTGTAAGAACATGTTCATCTGTCCCTAATATTCAGGTAACTTAGAATTTTTCTTTGAGCTGTCGTTTGCACTCTCATGTATGAAAACTGTCATGTTGTTAGTTGTGTATTCTGGTCTTCACGAGAACAAACTCCCATCACAGCGTACTTCCAAGTGGGATTGTTCTGGAGAAATGTAAATATAAAAATTATTGTTGTTGTAAGTGTAGAAAACATGGTTTGTAAAGCAACTTATTCTTGTGTGGGTGAAGCAATATGGTGGGGCCAAAGCAGATTTTTGTAAATGATATTATGATGATTCGAAAATGCACAAAAATAGAGTATGGAAATATATGTAAGCAAAAATGCACAAAAATAGACTATGGAAATATATGTAACTACACAAAGTTAAGTTTGTTTCTTTTCTTTTGGTGTGGAGTGTGGTTTCTTTTTGCAGTAAGCCAAAACTCCAGTCGATCTTTGAGAACTTCAGGTCCACAGTACATGAATGTTTTCATAATAGAATAGAATGGAGAATTTCAGTTGTACAGGTTGTATTTACAACTGTCATAGGATTGTATCTTTTGGCATTTTTTCTTGTCCTTTTAGGCAACTCCTGATCTCTTAAAAGGCCAGCAAGACCTCGCACAGCAAACGAATGAAGAGACTGCTAAACAGATACTTTACAATTACCTTAAGGAAGGGTTAGTAAACATTAGTAAAACTTTTGGAGAGGAGACTGTATTTCCTCAATGCTTATTTTCTACTGCATTTAAAATGTGGAACAGTGAAGTCAAAGCTGTAACTAAATGAAATGTCTGTCTGATAATTCTGTATCTCAGCTGTGTCCTCTAAGGCATTACAGGATCTCAAAACACCCAGGCTGTGAGGACTTACAGAAGGTATTGTGCAGGATATGATTAAATGTACTTGAAACTTGTGAATCGGAATATGCTTGGTCTTTTAAAGACTTCTGGAGTTAAACTTATGATATAGAGGTTAATGCAGAATTCAAATGGTACCTTAGGGGAGTTTAAACCTTTGGGTTTTTTAAACAGCAACAAAAAATGTTGTATCTTAAAGTTTGACAGCAGCTCTCTTGTTGCTGTGCATTTAATCCTTTGTCCACCTGTAACTCTTTTACTTGGTATTTTCTACTGATAACTTATTGAAAGATGAAGGAGAAATTAATTAAAAACATAAAATGCATTTAAGTTTCTTTGCATTCCTGTTGTAGCAGGATCTGGGAGCTGTTTGAAATGCTATTTCATGGTGCAGAAGTCAGGACTTGAAAAACCTAGTACTAATTACTTGTAATTTCGGTGTGTTTGAATAATATATATATGCTGAATATCTGTCTTGACACAGCTACAGTCCTACAGAAGAGAGTTGCAATTAAAGAGCTCAGTGATCTTTTTTTTGGTTGCCTTTTCAGAAAACATGTGGGATATAAATTTTTAATTCCTCTCTTTAAAGGTTTTAATAAATTGTAGCTAAGATAATTTCTGATTGGTTCATATTAGTTTGGGGGTTTTGTGGTGATTTTCAGTAGTTTGGGCACTCTGAATTTGTGTTGTTAACAAAATAGTAACTTTGATCATATCGTTGCTTACTTCTACTGCCTGTTTTAGAAGTCCTGATAATGATGATGCAACAAAGAGGAAAGTCAACTTAGTTTTTGAGAAAATTCAGACTTTAAAGTCAAGAGCTGCTGGAAAGACACAGGTAAAGAATTTTTAATTTGCTTTGACTTGTTTCAAAGTGCTGCAGTATTCAGATAGGGCTTGAAAAATTTGAATTCCCCTTACTGACTTCAACCAGGCTGTTCTTGTAGCCCCTCAGGAGCGTAGCTTAGTTTTGATCATGCACTGAGGTGACTTATGGAAAATCTATTTGCTAACAATTAAAAAAGAATGTAAAGAAGTCTACCATGAAACCATCTACATTTTTTTTCTGCGTTTTGGAAGGAGAGAGATGCAAACTTGAACATGAACATAATAAGTTGTCAGATCAAAGAAAAAGCTACTCTACTTAGCTTTAAAAAATAGTGGTGGAGCATCTTCTCCTTATAGTGCTGTAAATAGATATCTAAGTGGAGAGAGTATTTTAATTTGTAATTTAGAAAAGCAGTAGTCTAGGATATTGTATGAAAGTCACATTACAACAGCATTTGGCAATCTGCCTACTGAAAAGTTTTTGGTTCCTGCTAAATGGTACATTTTTTTATCAGTTCTAAAGCCAACTGAAGAAACACCCAGTTGTTGCAGTGATGGCATGAGAATGATTAAATCCTTATTGCTTATTATTTTATTCTGGGCTTTAATTAGTCAAAATGAAAATCTATTTTGCTTCATATTCTTTTTAATCCACATATACCTGTGCTTTTTCAGAAGTCTATTTTAAGTGTAGTTGCTCACAGCACAGTTACTCTTTTTAAGACATCTCTTTCTTAGTGTTTGAGGAGTTTGGAGTAGTGAATAAAAATGTTAGGCACATGCACATAGAATTTCTTAGGTATCTGCACAGATAAATGTTAATCTGTTAATTGCAGTGAGACAGATGTGGAATGAGAGACTCATGTAGCTGTTGTTATTAACTACAGCTTTTTTTTTTTTTTTTTGCAAAACACATCCTTAAAAATTACCTAAAAAATGTGTTTGAAAATCTGTTGACACATGAGCATGAATTCCTTTGATGTCCATTTTGCATAATTAGAAATATCTCAGTCAAATTTGGGCCCACGTACTTGTGAATTGTTTCATATGTTGCCTAATTTGAATTTTTCTTAGGTTTGTGTATTTCCTGTTTTACTGACAACTTGCTTTGAGCAGTTATCCAGAAATTTTTATGAGAATCAAATCATGGTTTCTTTGAAAATCTTAGCCAGGCCTGACCCATAGGAAAAGTCCTTGGTGAGCTCAGACAGTTGATGCTACACTTTATTAGTCCTGCTTGTAGCTTTGCTTTAGATTTAAAAAAAAGCATGTCTTGCATTTGTGGGAATAAATGTCTCTGTTTAATTGTAGGTTTCGGATTCTTCTGCTGAAGTAAAAGCATTGGTTGAACAAAAAGCAGAACTTGAAAGGAAAGTGGAAGAATTAGAGAAAAAACTGGATCTGGAAATTAGGGTACAGCACTTTGTTGTTATAAAGCTTTTGACTATTTCAAATATACTTTCCTAAATAAGTGATGACTGATCAACCAGCTGAATCTCTTTTGCTTCATATTTTTCTTAATCCAGATATACCTTTGCTTTTTCAGAAGACTTTTTATTTGAAGTGTGGTTGCTCACAGCACTGTTATGCTTTTTTAACAAATGTCTTTCTTCTCAGTTTTTGGGAAGGAGTTTGGAGAAGTGAACAAAACTGTTAAGCAATTGCACATAAAATATCTTGAGTATCTGCAGAGCTAAATGTTAATCAGTTAATTGCAGCAAGACAGACGTGGGCTGAGAGTCAAACTGTGTTACTCATGTAGCTGCTATTGCCTTGCATAACTTTTGGTGTACAAAACTCAGAATCAGCAGAATTCCAAAGAAGAGAGAGATGCTACACGAGCAAGCCTGAAAGATCTTCAGCTGCAGCTTGATGAAAGTGTACGTGAGAAGGAAGCCTTGAAAAAGCAGCTGGAGGAAAATGAGAAGGACCTCAGGCAAAACCTGGAGGAGTGAGTTAATTCTAGAGAAGTTGTCATTGGGGTTTGTACCTTTCCTTAAACCTTTTAGATTAAAAGTCCCTGTGTCTGCAGGATATTCAATGGAATCAGATGAGTGCATTTGTTATAGTAGCAAGTGTTTCTACCATTAAAAAGTGGCATGTTTTTAGAATATCTGGAAGGAAAAGAAAGATTGCTGAATTATAGTTGTCCTCTTAGTGCAGAATGCTTTTAATATTTCACAGTCATGATATACAGTTCGAGTCTTTGAAATGTGGAAACACTTGAATGACCAAGTTTGAAATAAAATACAACTTCCCACTTAAATACCTACTTAGATTTCTCATTTTTACCCCTCTGACATTTAATTTTTCTGTCTCATTGTATCCCATTCTCTTGTGGGAGTAGATACATATGTCTTTTTAGTACTTGAATGAACAAATTAGTATTTCTACAAATTAAAAAAACCTCTCTGATTTTTACTGATGAGGCTTTTTCAAGTGAAGATGGAGCAGGAACAGCACCAGACTGAGATCAGAGATCTTCAGGACCAGCTCTCTGAGATGCATGATGAACTGGATAATGCAAAACATACTGATCAAGGGGAGAAAGAGATTCTGATTGAGGTTAGTTATAAAGTGCCAGAAAGAGAATAAAAAAATCAGAAGAATTGCACCAAAGCAGTCTCTGAATTGTTGACTTTCTATTGATGGGTTCAGGGGCAGAGGAGGAGGGATAGTCTGGAGAGGAATAAAAGAGTTACAGGTTTTCTGTCACCTTGAGATGAAGGATGAATTGGCTGGAGCCCTGGTTATATTAATATACTGATTATGAAATAGAGAACACAGCTTATTAAATTTGTTGATAAGGGTGTGTTGGAGTATCAGTGCACAAATGTTCAAGAAGAAGATAAGAATTCACAGTGTCTTAGTACTCTGAAGTACCAAGACAATTAACTTGTCTTAATACTAGTGCAAAGAAGAAATGGAAGGTAAATGATAAAATGCAAAATAGGGAAGAAAAGCACAGACAGTAGGTCTCAGGAATATTAAGATGTTTGCACACAAGACATGCTTAGTAGAATAACTAGCTTGTTTTGTATAGGTGAGATTTGATAACTCTCTTAAATTGCTGTCTTAAATCTCAGATACTGTAGTTGAAAGTTGTAAATAAGTAGAGGAATATCTCCAATGATGGTGGTAGTACTGAAAAATATTACCTATGGAGCAGGACTTTAATCTGAGTGGAGGAGTGAGGGAAGATTCAAAGCATCTTATAGAATGTTGCTCTAAAGGTGTTAGTGATCAGTTTTTCTGTCTTGTGTGGAGACAGAGTAAGAAATGAGAGACTCGGCTTCAGAGTTAAAGTAAGTGTTGGAAAAAGTTTCTAATAATATTGATAATTAAACAGAGGAATATGGCTCTCTGGGATGGTAGTAGAATCCCTTTCATTGTAGGCTTTTAAGGATGAAGTAGATGATGTGTGTCAGGAGTGGTTTAGATGTACTGATCCTGCTTCAGTGCGGGGAAGCCTACGTGGGTTTTGGAGGTGCAATTATTCACAGCTTGAGAAATATCAAATCAGATAATTCTTGAAGCTGTACATTTTTGATTGTTGTTGTTGTTTTTATTCTGTGTTTATATGCATGTGTTTTTAGTCTTCATATTTACTGACTACCCACTTCCTTCCCAGCAATTTGGGGAGGGGAAATGCCTTCTAGGGTGAATGTGGTGGGAGGAGGAGGAAGGGTGTGAACACGTGAACTCAGTTGGGAAGCACTTGTTTTGTCTTCAGCACTTGAAGAAGCAACTTTATTCTTTCAGCAGAAAATAAAACAAAGAATTATCATTGGGTTTGCTTCTCTTGCCGTGTGAGAAAGAATGTTTTGTCTTTGTTCTTATCTACCTTTTTGCTACTGAAAGTAGGACTTAGGGAGTTGTTAAATTGCAACCTCTGTTTGACTCCTTTATTTACCGATGGCTTAACATACACCATCAAAGTCTTTTGATAGTTTTACAGCATCAGATATGTTGACCCATTACATAAAACATCAGCTTCTCATAATCCTAGGGTTTAGTAAATTTTTAGCTTACTATAAAACATATGTCAGTCATATGAAATGAAATTGGCCTTGGGGAGCTTATATGCTTTCTTTCTGTGAAATACAGACAGAACATCCCTATGTGTCACACAGTTGTGTTTTAATTTTGGGCTTCAGGAGCTGATGCAAATGAAGCAGGATCTGCAAGAAGTACTAATAGCAAAAGATCAACAGGAAGAGATCTTGAGAAAGAGAGAGAGAGAGCTTACAGCTTTAAAAGGAGCACTTAAAGAAGAAGTATCCAGCCATGACATGGAGATGGACAAAGTTAAGGAGCAACACGATAAAGAATTGCTCGATCTACGGCAGAGCCTGGAGAAAGCAACAGAGGTAAGAGAAGTGATTACAGTTAATCTCTACAGGGAAAAATCTTACCTCTCTCAGATGTCATACACTGGATACTTTCAGATACTGCTATTTTCTTAGCAAAATAAATAGGAGAAGATTTGGACTGGGGATTCTTAGCTGCTGAGAATAAGTTTTATTTCATACACTCATCTGATGTTTTGGTTGATGGTTGCAGCTGAAGTTGTGGCCCTTTCTTCAAGCAGTTATTGACTACATGTGCTTAATTGCAAACTCTGAGAGAGAACAGATGGGAGTGTAGTACAGAGGACCATTTGCTTGTCTTGGGTTAAATGGAATCACCAAAACCTTGAGGATGCCCTGAAGAGCCCCAGTGTGCTTGGCCAGTGATGCTGTTGAAATTATAGTTTTGGAACTTCTAGCAGTTCTCTGCAGCCCACTATTCCTCCCTTCAGCTCCTTGTGTCACATCCTGTTCCCTGATTACATTGTCCCATCTTGCCCATTCAACTGCTTAGTACTAGTGTGGGGTTTTTGTTTTATTTTGTGTCCTTTTCATTTATTGAACTTAGTTTGTTTACCGAATGGTCAAAGGAGTTCCAGCACAAGGGAAACAGCAGGGATTTGGGTGTTTCGAATCAGACAGGAAGAAAACAGAACTGAAGGAATTGCCTCTTCCAGCATCAGCAGGAAGTCTGTGTGAGGGGGAGAATAGGAACAGGTTTCACATGCGCTTATCTGTTACTGGTTTCCAAAAGACGTCCTTTGTGAAGTTTTCTTTGCAGAGACAGCAGCTACAAATACATTGAAAAACTTTCTTTTGGTAAGGGGATGCTCTCATAAAATTTTGAGCGTTATTTTTACAGTGACAACTATTTGTATCTTTTCCCTTCCCTCTTTTTATTTCTGTCACATGTTTGAGAAAATCTTTGCAGGCAAACTGTGCTTGACCAATAGAAGTCAGAACCATAGGCCCAGTTTTCTGCTTAGAAATGTCCATTCTAATTCATGTCTGGTAGTCCTCACTGGGCTTAGGTGAGTTGTAGTTATCCTACTAGTTGTGACCTAAAACGTAACGTAGAACTGAGTTAAAATTAAGCTTGCAACTTGAAAAAGGTTTCCAAAGCTTTATATGCTTTATCAGTAAAATAGAAGCACATGTGGAAGATACTGGATAGATATTTTAGGACTGAATTCTGTTAGAGATTATCCTTTTAAAGGGTTGTTTTTAAACATGCAATTTTCTTCAGAGGTCTGAAAACTTTATGTATGCTGAGCTGTTTATGCAGCCTAGGACTTGTGCTTGAGATTGCTCACTTTGCTTAAATGTGTTTCTCTTTGTTTACATCATCATGAAGATATTTGACTCGTCTGAGCTGCTTGAATTGAATTAATTTTTTTCTTTGAGAGAAAAGTAGAACATTTAAATGATCATTTTTTATTATACAGTAATTGTAGTGACAGCTCAACCTCAATGAACCATCTTTCAAAGTTAGTGCCTGGTAATTTACTGTATTTCAATTATGGAGCTGTAATTACGACTGACAAGAAATGAAAGAGTAGTCTGTTCAGCATAACAATACCACAGTCTGGGAAATGGCTCTATGATTGGGGTGCTGTGGCTTAGAGATTAGTTATAAATAGCATTTATTTACTTGCAGGACATAGTCTAATAGTAAATTTAATAGTAAATTTAATAAGATGTTCAAAAGTGAAATTTATTTGATTAATGTTGCCCTAAGCACCAGTTCTCTTATAATTTTAATGCAAGTGATTTTTGTTTTTATTTAAAGTAAAACATGCTTAATTGTAAGGTGTTTTTTTTTTTCTTGGTTTAAATCTTGCTAGTTTTTATACTCTTAATGATTTTTTTTTTTAAGCACAGCATTATCTTTATGCCTGCTGGCTGAGATCAGTTGTTGAGTTTGATATATCTTCTGTCAGGAAAATATAACCAATCTCTGCAGTAAGTTAACTGTGTGATCTGCTGTGATGTTAATGATTGGGTTTATAATTACTCTGAAATACCCAACAGAGTGTGTGAAAATCATGTTCTATACAATGGAAGCTGCTTGACCTGTTAAATTTATTTTTTTTAATATTATTGCAAGCTGGAAAGATTCATACTGGATGGTAGGATACAAGAAATTTACATCAAAGGTTAGTGGAAAGGGCCATTCTGTTGTATGTGCTGAGGAAAACAGGTGTGTAAATGCTGTAATAGTGGGTTGTCACACACAAAATGTGGATACTGATGTTGGATAGATCAGGTTATGTGGAATCTGTATGTACAAAGTGTTAGTACTTATTGCTTCTAGATCATCCAAATTGGTGCAGTGAATAAAGGTCTTTTGTGATGTGTATAGGCTGTTAAGGAAAATTTTGCAGAGAGAAAGGAAGTAGTTTTTATGCCAGTGTTAAATGAACAGAGTTTTCAGCTGCTGGAGACATCAGGTAGGTTGGCAAGTAATGTAGAGTGCCTTTGGTCTGTGTGGGTAGAATGGCACATAGATCTGTTTTGCAGCAATGTTAGAAACATTCTCAAGGTTATGTGGTAGAAGAACAGGGCAGGGTTGTTTGTCATGTATGATTCTGTTCTCATGCTCACTGCTCTGGTGCTGGGCTGGGGGGTTTGGTTGGGTTTTTATTGTCGTTTGTTTTTTGGTTTTTGCAATAAAGATTTTTACATAAAGTCACAGATATCAAGATATTAACTTTCTCTGCTACAGTTTACCTTTTTAACTTACTTTTGTGTTATGTTTTTTGCTCGTGGTGGTCTTGAGATGGCTGCGATTATTCTTGACATCATTTCTTGTTTATTAAGGCTGGGATCAGACTATTTCCATTTAACAACAGTAAAACTTCCAGAACATATCTGTGGGATAATAATTTAATAATAAATTAAGAAATTAAGGTCTTTCTGATTAAGAATGGAATTCTTCATAATCACAATGCTAGAACAGAAATAAATATGGATCCCCTCCAGTTTTTAACGTAGTACAAAAAATTTCTGTTATTTAATCTGACAACACAACAGTCCAGAATTGTACTGCTTTAACCATGAGTGCTCTGTCAGTGTAGATGAAGTGCCACTGTTTCAGTAAAATTTGGAAACAGCTTTTGGAAGGTAATACTGCAGGTAAAAGGTTATAGCCTATTGCAACCAGGGCTGTTCAAATTCCAGTGAAATTGTATCAGCTCAAGAGGGCAGTTGCAAATGCACAGCACTTCAAAGCTGTGTGTGTATTTTGAGCAGCAGTCTGCACAAATTCTGCTGTTCAGAAGAAGCTGTAATCATCACCTTATGGAGAGGCTTGTTTAGGCCTGACCCTGGCGGGTTTATCCAGCGTTTGTCGTACGTCTGACCCTGTTCTCAGAAGGGTAAAACAGACACTCCGAGCTCGGAGCTGATTAGTTTATCAACACATTGAAGAATGCCATGAAGCTTGTAGTCACATGGCCTTTAGCTGACATGTGTGTGTTAGCCATGGGATACGATGAAAGAGAAGAAGGAATTTTACCACAGCAAGTGCAGGAACAGCAAAAGGCAGTGGTTGCCTTCTGCACGTGTTATGAACTAAAAGTGTATTCCTTTAAGATAGGAAAATAATATGGAATTTTGAGTATTATAAATGATAGGAAACTTGGGTTTTGGGTTTTCCCATCTTGTGAATTTAGGTGAATCTAGCACAGAGCTGTAAAGACCTTTGAAATGAAAGTAACTATTCAATCTTTTTCTACCCAACCTGATACTATTATACTTCTTCCTCAAAGCTAATAAAAATCTCCCTCACGAGGCAGAAGCTTAACAAAAACTTAACCATTGTAAATGATTCTGATATATACTGTGTCTGCCTTTTTTGTAGAAGTGGATGGAATACATGGTTTAAATGTAAAATGAAACATAATTTAGTATATTCTGAGACCGTATTTTGGAATAATGCTTTACAAACCAAATTCCTCAGAGGGGAGTGAAGATATAACTGTGGAGCGTTGCAGAGACATTTTGGTACTGGAAGTGATACACAGATCTAATGTATATAGCTGTAAAATTATATATATGAAAAAACCCAGTAGAATCCCAGCTACTTCTTGCCACGCTAAGGTGAAATCTTGGGGTTATAATAAATCACACTAAAATCTCATAGTCTTGATAGCAGTAAAAGAAAGAAATTATATGATAAGAATTATTTGGGCGTGAGAACATTGTTATGCCCTTGTATCCATACATCTGTAACTCCTCTGAATCTGCATCCTGAATCCTCAGAGTCTAGTCTGTTCATCTCAAGCAAGATACACAACAATTGGAAAAGATTTAGAGAAGATGAGCCAGGTTTTCAGATGCCACTGGTGGGTATTTTCTTTCCTCTGCTTGCCTGGGGCAGCCTTTGCTGACAAAACCCTGGTTTGGTGTCAGTGGTAGAAACCGGCTGGTAACTGATCCAAACTGTACAGAGTCAAATGGTGGAGTGACTGGTCCAAGTCAGTGTTTCATCTTTCATGACATAACACTCTCCTCCTTGCGTTTTCTGCCCTCTTTTACCAGCCTTCTAAAAGCCTGGTACAGCTCTGATTGATTTTCAGTGTGGTACAAACACAGATGGAGTGGGGGAAAGAGAGGGAGGGTGTGCAGACAGAAGTGTGATGGTGGAGGGAAGGCTGCAGGCACTCCTTAAATGGGCTTTGTTATTGGAAACACATAGTTTAGAAGTATATATGGAAAATTTGGGAGACAGATTTGATTTGTTTTAAGTGTCTGTATTCTGTGTGTGGAAAGGAAGTTGTTTGGTAATAGCATCATGCATGTTTTTAGGCACCTGTTAAATGAAGTACCAAACAAATTTTGGAATATTAGCTGTGTCGTCAACAAGAATATAAAATGTGCCTCCCAAGTGCACTGAAGATGTAACTTGGTGACTGTGTCTTTTAAGTTTTACCTGCCCTGGTCTTTCTTTTCTGTGGAATTTACTCCTCCATTTATTTAGTGGGTACATGTGTGTGTTTGGATGCAGACAGTACCATGAA